CCCCCTAAATGTGTAATGAAAAAAATACTAGGCCTTCCTTTACTTACCATTCCAAAATTAAAAAGCCCCCTCCTTTACATTTTTCAGAAAATCTATGGCCCCCTTAACATCTTCATGCCTCCTTGACATATTAAGTGAACTTCCCTTAGTTGTATTTAAAATGTAATAAATTATTTGATATTGCATCATATAATTTATATTATTGGTTATACATATGTTATGCCTCTTCTTTTAGGATTTAAATACTGGTAGGCCATTTACAAGATTGTGTCATTACTATTAATTACCAAAATCCATAGTGAATTTGAAGAAAGTGTTCAAAGGATTATGATAGAGGTAGCTATTAATGATGCTGTAATGCATATGGCCTATTGATATTCAAATGTGGTTTATACTTCAGCTTTTATATTTATGCAGGGTTTTCATTAAGTGTCAGAGATCGGATAATAATTCTCCCCCAACAGGCTTAAACTACCATTAATAGCTTGTTAATTTGTAGAATGTCCACTCACTTGGTCACCTGGACCCGTTTGTACAAAGGGTGGATAGCGCTATCCGATGGATTAATCTTACGTGTATCCAGTGGATAAATTTATTGGATAGCAGCATTGACTTATCCAATTGATAAGGATTTATCTATTGTATAGTGCTATCCACCCTTTGTACAACTAGGCCCTGGATTCTTCAGCAATTCATGATCTTCTCCTATTATTTCAAAACTAACTTAATGAAAACCCTTTTAATGGTATTATTGTCATGTATCATTATTTTTGTGTTTAAATGTTTATGATAAATGAGTTTAAAAGCATTTTCTAAATAAAACTTCAATGTTACTTGTATGGTTTAAAATACTTTAGTTTTAAGTTTTATAATGTATTTAGTAAAAGTTTAAAGTTTTTAAAAATTCAGGTTATAAAATGTTTATTTATGAATTTTAAGTAATGAAAATTTAGCTGAAGTTTTTATGGTATAAGATGATATGGTTAGGCTTTGCCTGTCATTGGTCAATGTGCTCAACCAATCAAAAGTCTGGATCACTCTGTCCATCCAATCAAAATGATTATGCAAATCATTTGACACATAGACCCTCTGTATATGACATTGATGAGACTGAGATAAAGTTATAATAAACTAGTGATCTGAAAGTAGACATTTTTAAAATAATAATAATAGTTTTAATATCTCTTACCTTTGTCTTAGTCATCACCATGAAGTACAAGATACCCATACTAAACACAACCTAAAATAAATAATGCTTAAACTTATGAATACTTAAACTTATGAAGGAAAATTGAAAATACACTACCTAAGAAAACTTACTGCAGGCCTGAGTAGAAAACCACAATCAAATTCAAAGGCTACACATAAGGGAGCATTCATAATTTATGGGGCGGGGGGCTACAAGGATTCTACAATTAGAAATGATATTTTAGGGTGCACTCCTGTCTCACTCAAACATTGATATTTTTGAGTGACCTCCAAAATACATACTCCTAGTAGACACTAAATGCTGTATCTTTGAAAAACATTTTCAAAATCCCCACCCATAATATTGTTACATATACCTCTACCCAATAGCTCTTCACCCCATAAATCACTAACACTCCCTCAGTGCCACATATCACCTATCCTTAAAACCAACATAAAGAAAGTATTACAAACCTGGAAAAGAAGCCACAAAGTGATTTGTGTGAGCTCAGTCCTCTTGAAAAGTGATAACCCATACTTGATGCAGATCAGGCTTTCCATCAGCATGATAGCACTAAAACAACAACAAAAAATGCCTAATCAACCCAGTATATACTGTATAACCCCTCTATTTTCTCCTATCCTCTTCACAGAAAGGGGTTTGAGCCAATTAGAAGCTTCTTCTCAATTAAGTGAGGAATAACCTAAATTTTTTCCAATGATATTCCAACAACCCAGGAAATATCTAATTTACTCTTCCTACTAGGTTTGATCTGTCACCCCTGCCACACCCCAAACCCTTGGCCCAGAAGCTTCACAAGAAAAAGATAAAATGGTGATGGAAAAAGAAAGATAGACTCACATAAAAACCCAGCATTGTGTTCCAACTCTTTTACTTCTAGTGTCTGTAACATAGGTATAATACTGCCTGAAAAGATAAGGTACAGCGACAGCATTAGAGTGCTTTTAATGTTTCAGCAACCTAGGCAAATTGTCTTGCAGCTGCTGCATCATAATGGTCATGGCAGAGTTTTTTAAAATGGAAAGATGAATTCCTTGTTGAGTTCGTTTGTTTTGGCCGTAGTACCTGATCGATGGTGCAACAATCAAACTGATGATCATGATTCTTGTCCAGTTGATCCAATGTCGGGTAGGTATAAGCAGGATGTGTTTGAGGAAGAAAGTATTCAATTCTATGACCTGAAAATGGATCAAAATTTTCAGATTCATGAGTCGGAGTGGGCATTAATTTTTACAATTTTTCTGTATAGCAATGCCTTATGTGTACTAGAAAAAGCATTTTGTTAATATGCCAACCATTTTCACAATGGCTCAACAGAAGCTGCTTTGTGCCACCAGCCAATTAATCTCTGGTTGCCACATGAATAACAAAGGTTTATTCTACATGAACTATTGACATAAGGTTTACAAATCCTCTTTTATCTTATTTCAAGAAAGATATCTTTTTTCAAAAAAGACAATTATTATTTTTAATTAGTATAAATAAAAGTGGTTCAAAACTATGAGCCATCTTAACAGCCAGCACCATTTATTCTTAGTCCCCCAGTCCTACCATCCCCTCTACCCCCTCCCCCCTCTTTCTATGGGTGATGTTCTCAAACCTAGAGAATGAAATTTAAAATCAATAATGAAGATCCTTGAAGCCACGTAGAAACCCCTTGCATATCTTGGAAGGAAGGTTATGTAAATTTAACTGTATTATTACTAAACCACTGTGCCAGTCATAAATAAATACAACATAATTCCAGAGGAGTAGCAGGGTCTTGACTATAGGGAGGGCAATGTGTCATTATCCTGAAAACACCACAGAAATCTAGCATGAATTAATTAAATCTTGGTGCCGAGAGCAAACTTTTGGGGGGTTCCTTCCTACCCCCCATGCCCCCTACCTACACTATTGCAACATACTACATGAACGTACCTGTGAGACCATAAGCATCATGCAAATTGCAAAGTAGCGCATGTAAGAGCACTTGGGATCCATCCACCTTACATGGGTCCAACTGTAGACAAATTATCCAACGTTAGAATCTTAGAAAAGCGTGCACACCATATACAGTATCTGTAAAACAATTAGTGCTAACCATGTAACGCTTAAAAATGTTTAGTTATCAATTATTTAGTTTTAAAATAGTTAATAAATCACTCAGGAATGAACCAAACAAAGGTGTCTATAGGTATTTGCTGTTTGCTGTTTGTGAAAGAGAGCACTGCTGGAACTTTGTGCTGGCACTTTGGGGATTGGACTCAGGAAAGCCTTAGATATATATATATATATATATATGATTTATTTACCTAACAGGAGTGAACTGCATGACAGCTCTAGTAATCTTCCCTGTAGTAGTATGAATATCCCTACAAAACAAGAATAAAATTTAAATAATTTTAACATTTTAACAAACATTGGTACATTCAGGATAAATTTAAAGGGGCTAGCTGTCATCTAGAAAGCATGTCAGACAGACCTCGGATTTTTCTGGGGGACYACCATTTATGATCAAGATGATCATAAACTCAAGCACCAATAACACAGTAGATATCAGCTTGTCTAAGGGGGGTTTGCACCCCTCCCCTAGATCCAACCCTGCCTGTATATGACTTCCTCTTTAGATTTTGCTATACCCTTTAATACTGTTATTAAAACTCYAACGTTGAAAGGAATTGACTATTGTGTACTTCACTTCCTTGATCCACCCTTGAACAAGAGTAAACTGGACAGTGCACACTAGACAAGGGAAACTTTACTGTAAAGTATGGGTGTAATGTCTTACTTGATGCTCTCCCAGTGGTAGTTGCGCATCTCTAGTTTTTTGCAGATGTACATCCCAAAGTGAATGCCAAGTCCGTTACATATCAAGACGTCAAGAATCAGAGCATCCCACCAACACTCTTTGAAGTTAGGAAGAAGATGAGAAAAGAACACCTGAAGAATAGCAGAAAAGTATCACCAACCCTGTATTATAACCCTGAATTGTAGTATTGTGGTCTATCTTGGGTACAAACAATAGTTGTGATATAAAGATATGATCGAACAAACACTTGAAAAATCAGGACAACCACTAGGAGCAGTAAAGAGAAGGAAATATGCAAAACATGAAAAGCTCATGGCACGAACATTGTCATGACACGGCAAGTCATATGCCAGCCCAATCACATTGCACAAGAATTTACTCTCCGTCCAATTAAATACCAGAAACACATGGCATGAAATCAGTACAGACACTGTCACAGAACACAGCACTGCCAGATCAATCACATTTTGCAAGAAAAAATCCCCCAATCAAAATTCTAAAAAGCATTGAGGTCACAGCAAGGCATGCATATGGCACCAACTTTTTCATACGAAAACTTCTCTGAGCAATCTACACCACACTGTGAGCATACCTCAGTTGCTTCCCAAGTGACACTTGCCATCCAGCAGATCCCAGCATGTCTGATCAACATTGCCTTCAATGCCCAGCCAAAGAAATGAGCAAAGGCAAATATGTCGCAGCACTCCCATATTCTGGTCAGTGAAACATCCGAGCAATTGACAGCATACAACTGACAACAGAAGAAAAAAAATGTATAAAATAAAAGAATATTGTATCAATTACTTTCCATATATACTGGTTCACTGGTCAGACATGTCATCCAGTCGAGGCTCCATGATTCTAATTCGAATAATCCCTTGAAACTACTTTGCTACCGCAATTGAATGTTTTATGTGACCAGTGAACCCATGTACAGCATGGAAAGTCCTGAAACTGTTTCCTATGCTTCACAAATATTTGAAATTTTGACAGATCATATTATCGTACTAATATGTCAGAACAAAACAGCATCATCTTAAATTATTGCCATTAATTATCAACATTATCACAACACACAATTTCATCTTTATTTCTGGTATCAATCATTTTAACATGACCAAGACCAGCGTCATCATTTCTTGATCATTATTGTTAGGCCAAACAAAAAAATAAGTGTGTTTCTTGTTGCTCGGCGGACCCTAATTTTCTTGCCAATTTTTGCCAACCCCAATATTTTTTCATTCCCAAATGCACCACAAGGTTGCAAGTAAGCTCATCTCCACTGTTGTATCAGTAAAAAAAATCTGACCTACCAACCCCAACTATTTTTGTTATGCAACAGGAAACAAACTTATTTTTTTGTTTGGTCTTATTAACATTATTGTTATCATCAATCATCYTCATGAATACCATCATGATGAATGCCATCATCATCTATCCATCTATCATCATCACAACACACATCCTCATCTTTATATTTTTCATTAACCATTATCACAATAACCAACACCAGCATCATCCATCCCTCATCATCATTGTTATTAACAAATTCATACCCAACCTAAAAAAATTAAGAATAAAGTTTTACTTACTTGTGTGTCTTCTCCAACATGCACCAATTCTGGGTCAAAAAAGAACAGAATCTTCCTAAAGTCTTCTCTTGTTTGGAACAAGGCAAAGGACAGAAACATCAAATACAGTACACTGCAACCTGAATTGAAAATCAATGAATGAATGAAATGACAGCAGAAAACCAATAGATAAAGCAATAGCGAAAATGATAAATTGAAACCAACTTACCAAATACTAATCTCCATATAGCAGGATGAGGTCTAACGAAGGGTCCTGTGAACAAGGAACATATTCAAGTACTAAGCAGAGCATAAAGAAGTTGTTTACAAGTACATCATAAYGTCTGGGTCAAATTAGTACCATTCTCTAACAGCCCAGGTTTCTGATTGGCTCCACTACCCTAAGGTGGAATGCATTGTCCTCATTCTACATTTTGATTGGTTCTTGCTGTCTAACTTATCCAAGTGACTCCTGTTTCAATAGTCACCTAGTAAAAAAATTATATGCACTATATTTGTTCTTATTCACAGTCTCTTATTTAGCTCTAAACAAAACCATTACCAGTTTCCCGTTACCAAGTAAGGTTTACTCACCATTAGGCATAACAAGCAGACCAAGGACTAAGAACACAACGATAAGAGATACAACACCACTGTATATATTCTCATCACGCGTGGCTTCAGGGTTCCTGCCAAATAAAGAAATTGTCCAATAAATTTCTGGCAATTGAATGTAATAATCAATCAAACAAATTTCATCACTGACAGCCAGCTATAGGAGTATTCTGGTCTAACCTCCCTTATCATAAATAATCAACACCATATATACATTATACATGTTTCTACCCAAGCTAGACCACAGTGCATCATGTTTACCCAGAAAAGATCTAAGCATGACATAAGTATATCTTAACAAATGAAAGGTTCTTTCTTGGTATTGCAAGGCACCTGAAGCACGAAGAYAATTTAAAACGATAGCCACGATAATGAATTTTGAGCTAAACAATAACCCTAACTAGAATATAATAAAGCTTGCTATGGCTGGCTTTCACTTGACGTCATTTCCTGTCTCGTGTGAAATGTTCATCAGCTAAATTGCAAGTTTTCAATAGAATTCTTTCTGGCTGACGGCACATGGTGGTCAGTGCACGTGTTTGACCACCATGTGAAGCAGATAATGATATTCAAAGACTTTTATCAGCTGATTGAAATTAAGCAATTAACTGGTAGATATTTTTCTGTAAATGTGACTTAGGGCTTTTTTGAGAGCATAACAAGTACCATATCCATTTTTCTGCTGAAAAAGATAGTGTGCTGTTTCTTACCCAATAGGAAACGATATTATATTTAAGACAAAAAATCGAAAAATCATAGTTCATAATTTTTTTTATTATTGTAAAATTTAGAAATCATTTCATGGAAAAATGAGGATGAAATATTTTGTGTTTTCGAGTTCTCAAGGCGCTGTATGGTGTATCGTTGCTAAGACAAAAGACAGGTTGACAATTATTTAACCACAATACAAGTCAACAGTAAGCTTACATGTAAAAATATTTAAATAACCCCGTAGCATTTTCCAATAATAAAAATATTTTAATTCGTCTGAGGAATAGAGACTTGCTTCATAATGATAGGGAAAACAGATTCTTGAAGATTCCTCGATAATTGTTCTGATACTATAGGGTAATAAGTCTTTTTAATGCTTTCTACAAGTTTATGTAAATCTGTTACCTGTAAGGTTGATATTTATTCATTCACTGACAATAACCAACAAACCTGGATTCATTTACTAACAAGACCCAAGAATTTCAAGAAAAATAAACTAATTTTTTCGCATAAAATATCATATCCTATTCTTTCGCGTCGACATGGTTTACGAATATTCACACACGCGTACGAGTACCCGCCGTCTTCACTCACCTGGAAAATGCGGAGTAAACCAGATATAAAAAGAGACAACCAAGCAGAGTCAATGAACGCGGCTTATAGAAGAACTCTAGGGTAACATCTTCGACGATCTGTTCACTGGCATCGTTGTAATCCTCGGAAGAAATCGTCGAACAAGATGAAAAGGTCCTCTTTCTCCTGACGTCCGCCATGTTTGATGCTGCTTCGTTGGGCGGGGTCGATTACTGGGGAGGACTGGGTTGAGAGACCTCATTTATTGGCGCCCAGACCACTCTCTGCCTCTTTTCACCAGGATTCAAAATGGTGGTGAGTGTTTTTTCGTCCAAGTTCTAACACAATTTCAATCCATGATCATCCGTCATTCTAGGCTAAGACTTAATGCATCGACATATCGCATGAAACAGTYATTCATCTCTTAATGCTTCTAAGTCGTCATTTTTATGATATCATGTGGGATTTCTGCGTATTTTATGGATTATTCACATACGCTGTACTACATATTGCTTTTCGTATCGYGTAGTTTATACTTCTCAACAAATGATCTTTGATCATCAACAGCTAACATTTGCCGCAAAGCAATTATCTACAATGCAACAAAAATACCACTGAGATATTATGAATTTTAAAAACATTAAGAAAATGTTAAATGTTTGTATAAATAACTTCAAAGTAAAGTGTACTATCCACGGTGATTCCCTAGGGATGGATGTTTTTGCCTTACATTTGGTTTCACGTCCACATGTCCAATACCAATATGATAGATTAAACACAATATTGTTTTCAAATAAGCCTTGACATTTTTCCTTGACAAGATGTGTGAAAATGTGGTACATGATGATCATTGAAGATTATAGTTAGTGTGATGGATGTCCTTACGCTTTCACTCACTAAATGAAATGTAGATGTACTCATACTGCATACTCCTTGTCATCCTTAGGGTGAAACCAAGGCTAACCCCATGAAGGACTTGAGGATCTCTAAGCTGGTCCTAAATGTTTGTGTTGGCGAGAGTGGTGACAGGCTGACCAGAGCCGCCAAGGTCTTGGAACAGCTTACTGGACAACAACCAGTCTTCTCTAAGGGTAAGCCAGGAATTTATTCTGAGGAAAGCCACAATGAAATGAGCAGTATGATTACAGAATACCCCACAAATCATATGCACATATTTAATTACAATGACTTCTATTGTTGTATGGTTTGTTGTACAAAGAGTTCAAACAACTGGATTTCATTTGCTGGGTATTCTGTAATTTTGCTTCACCATTTAAGTGCTTCCCAATCACTTGCAAAATCATAAAATTTGCCATCCTAAATAAATAGGGTTTGTCCTTGTGTCCAGAAGAGAATCTATGGGTGTTGTGAAAGATCAGGATGCATCCCTGCGGCATTATTTTCATGATAAGACTAGCAGTAAAATTTTTCTAAGAAAAATTTACACTGTAGTAGGGTTATCAAATTACACATCAAACCCTTGGGTAAGGAACTGGAATTAGAGCTCGCATTTGCTCTCTGAACATCCATTCTAATGTTGATTTTTTTAAATAAATTCCAGCTCGTTATACTGTGCGATCATTTGGTATCAGGAGAAATGAAAAGATCTCTGTCCACTGCACCGTCAGAGGTCCCAAGGCTGAAGAGATCCTTGAGAAAGGACTTAAGGTCAAGGAGTATGAATTGCCAAGAGGATGCTTCTCCGAAACTGGAAACTTTGGGTTTGGTATCCAGGAACACATTGATCTTGGCATCAAGTATGATCCCTCCATTGGTATCTATGGTATGGACTTCTATATTGTATTAGGAAGACCAGGAATGAACATCTCTAAGAGGAGGCGTGCCAGGTCAAGGGTTGGTGCTCCCCACAGGCTTAAAAAGGATGATGCTATGAAGTGGTTCCAACAGAAGGTACAGTAATGCCAGTAAATAGTTGTATGAATTACAGTGCTCAAAATGACAGCTGGCCAGACATGATGACTAGGCACATGGGTATCTAATACAACTGATTAGTATTTGATCAGTCAAGAGGACTGGTGTAAAAGTGCCAATTTTGCCATTCAGTGGACCTGGCTGTTATTTAGAGCCCTAAAGTCAGTTTTGGTGCTAGTCAATCAGAGTATTCCCATGATATTAGCAGAAACAAATATCAAGAACGAGGGAGCTTGGTTGACATCAACCTATGTGTTCTTGTTGGCAAAAGACCTTATTCATTGTGGTGGAAATTTTTCCATTACAAACCATGTGTCATTCATTGAGAATAAGTTTGAATTTATCCGTATTTATGAGTCTTCTTATGTGTAACCATTAAACAAAGAAATGMTACTCTAGGGAACAACATGTGGTCTGAAATGGGAAAACATTGCACCTCTACAAATAAGGTCTATTTGTAAACTCCATGCATGTCGTCGTGGAATCTTTCAGGGAGAATTAAGCTCAGGGCTTAATGGGAATGAAAGTTCTAAGTAACTTATCTCCCAGCCAATAACTAATGGATTTTCTCCTCTTGTTTTTCAGTATGACGGCATCATCTTAAGAAAGTAATGTCACCTGTAGAAAACCACAAACTGAAATCTTGAAATAAATCATAACTTTACCATCACTTTGTATTATGTGGCTTTGTTTTTAATGGCTGCCTTGAAAAATATTCTGTGATCTCCATAGCTATAAGATGCATTCTGGAATTTGTTTTTTTGCTGTCATCAATGAAAAATAATCAGTAGGTACCTTTTAAGTTCACAACAGTTGAAATGTCTGAGTTCACAGAATATTGAAAACTGAAGTAGGTCCATCCTCTTTGATAATCATTTATTTGATCTCACACAATTCAAGTTTCAGAATTTTCTACATTAGATAATCTAAATTAAATTCAAATTAAATACCTATGGCTTGATCTAGCATCAGGGCCAGGTTGTTCGAAGGGTGGAAAGTGCTATTGGACGGATAAATCCTCTCCAGTGGATAAATTTATTGGATAACAGCATCAATTCATCAACTGGATAAGGATAGCACTATCCACCCTTCGTASAACCTGGACCAGAATGAAACTAAAATATATCTTGAAAGTGTACTAGTTATATACTGTGTCTACTCCGATTTCAATCTCTATAAGATACTGACAAGTTCTCTACGGCATGCTCGAGGCTAAAAATTATTATACTATTAACTCAATTATGAAAATATACATCTAAAGATGAGTTACCTTTCATCTACCTTGATTTCAAAATAATACTTTACAGTTAAATCCCTTGTATTGGCCTTGTCTAAGTCTTGTTTGCAGCCCTCCCTACTAACATTACCAATCTTAGGAAATTGACAGCAGCATTAACTATATGTAAATAACTTCACTGTTAGGGGCTTCGCAGACTGTCTTCTCTGTGGATGAGTTGACTTTACTGACAATGTTTTGGATGAAATCTCCAATGAACAGAACTGTTTGTGTAAGGAGACTGTCACAACTTCGGATTCCCTAAAATAAATTCGTACCTCAGCATTGGCTTATTACAACTAGTTGCAGCAGACGGTGGAACTCTCTGTTTAACTCTTCCTACTTCTACGAAGCAATTCTAGGCTAATGATTYTCATCTAATTATTCTTAGATGAACATATAGATCCCCTTGGGGTCATGTCCTTCAACAAAGGGTTCAGAGCCTTGTGGCACCCTTTAGAGGCCCCTAGGTATGTCTGGATGGCTTTCTTGACGTTGTACGAAGATTGTGGAGGAAGTTGGTAGATTTCAGCCAGGTTCATTCTGTTCCAGTCGTTGACTGTTCTCTTGTAGTCATCTTGCATTCTGCGTTTGTACTTACTGTCCTGGACATTTTTGACTTCCGCCCTACCAACAGAAATACGAGAATTAGTAATACTAGTAGGACCGGAAAGAACTTCCCCTGCTAGCAGAGCCTATTTTCCTTTTGTTTTGGTTGAAAGAAGGGAGAGAAAGAGAAGAGAGGCTCTGCTAGCAGGGAAGAAAGAACTTGACCACGAAAAGATAATAGTTATCCACGTTTAGAACGCCTGCGTTAGACTGTTGTGTCTAGCAGTGCCAAATCCACCATTTTTTCACTACAGATCCCGTGATACTCCCTTGATTATTATTATTTGGTCCACCAGTATTGCGAAAAGAAAAAATTTCAAGGGTTTGATTAGATTTGCTCCAAGTCTCGCTCGCTAATTTTTTTCCGTTGCAAGCTCGAATATTCCTCTCGAGAAGTAGTCGTAACCGGAAGTGCACTATTTGAATCCGAGTTTGGAACGGAAAAAAATAGCGAGCGAGACTTGGAGCAAGTCTAGGGTTAGACTTAAATCTAACTTGGCAAAACATTACACYCAAAAGATGGGCTCCATTACAAATAATTTCCCTTCATAGCGTTGCAAGATAATAATKTGATAAAAGTCGTTCAAACGCGCTCGCATAACTATGCAAGAAGCATACTAAGAGTCATCATATACTAATGACATGACAAGTCAAAGAATTAACAAAAAGTATCTTCACCTGAATGGTTTCACATGGTCGTAGTTCATTTTGAAGTGTCGATAGTTGTCATTGTTCAGCTTAGGGAACTTGACCTTTGGTATAGGTGGTAACCTTGTACTACCTTGATTGGGATCCAGTCCCGATAGGTTTTTACTCCTGAAAGATTTGAACGTGAATATCAGATTTACGAAATGTTCATATCCACCAAAGGGTACGGGGATAAACCCGAACTTCTGTCGACGGAAATTTTCAAAAAGACCCCTTAAAGGTACCGGAAGTCTTTAAGAAAGGGCGTGGCTGAATGATTTTTAACCCCTAAGAGAAATTCGCATTTAACTCCCTAAAAGTACCCTGGGCTCCAGAGGTTCAACACAGTAAATGCCGGAGCGAGAATGCAATAACCTCTGGGCCCCAGGGTATCCTAAAAGATACCAAATCGCGAATTTTTACCCCTAAGAGATACGACGAACATCCCCGGTACTTTTTTCTCGGATTCCCCCCCCCCCCGGGAGAAAAAAACCCTGGAAGCACATACAGGAAGGCTCTATTTACGTATACGTGGGTCTCGCAGTGAATCCACGACCACAGTGATATAATATTGATATATATTAGATATAAAAAGGTGTATTTATTTGCTTACCACAAGCCTTCTTTGTAGTATCCTCGCGGGACGACGGAGTCATAGACCGGACCTGGAAAACTGAATTATAAGAGAAGACTTTACATCAGATACATCGCCCTAGAAATAGCTATCATTCACCAGAGGTAATAGAGAGAATGGAGAGCCCGACCTTTCCATTTTGGGAATGAAATGGTAACTTTAGGGCCAAATGCATGCGCTTGCAGGTGGTAATCCCACATAAAGAAGGTAGACTGCGAGCTAAGTCCCTCTATTTCCCTTGGTCACTGTCCGTCTGTCTGTAAAGAAGGCGGTAGGTTTGATGGATTATAAATTACTTGATTGTTTACTTACTTGTCCATTCTCCAGGTTACTTCGGGTTCTTAAAATTAACAATGAATTGATCAATWAGAAAGTACATCACTTAAGATCAATCACACCAATATGCAAATGCTATTTGGTCATCGCGAGTTACTCTTGCCATCGAAAACATCCTTCCATACAAATCGTTATAAAGTATTCTAAATCTTAAATTTAACGTCATTAAATTCCTTTCCCTAGTCTTTTATGACTCGGGATTTGAAACTTCACTTTTTTACTATAATAATATAGAGCGTTTTCATTCACGTGAAAAGGCAGCCATATTGGTGTAACAAGCAATAGAAACTTTCTGCAAACAGAAAGTTTTTGCATAAAAATAGTGTTTAATTCCCCGAGGATAGAAAATGTATTGTTTTGGAACACCAAAATGGCTGCTGTGACGTCACGTGAAAACGCTCTATA